GGTATTGACAATACCATTCTTTACGCAATCTGAATGATTAGAAGAATGATGTAGATATTTATCAGTATGCGTCTTCTTGCGAAACACGGAGGTCAAATATCCCTGCTGGTGTCTCTACTAGCTCTGTGGCATCGGAAATAATGTTGCCTTGCTCCATTCTCGTTCATAGCAGATGTTGGTTGAGGCTCCATTTCGTCGATGTAGCAGTGGACTTTTTTGAACGTGTATATATATAGTAGAGACAAGGCAAAAATAACTTTAACTCCAATTATTACTTAACTATGATTTTTTGTGAAACAAGATCCATTGTGTGATATTTTACTTGGAATGGATACCGACGCTAGATCGCCGACCTTTGAGGAAATGGCTGAAGCCAAATGTAAACCGGCAGAGCTGCAAATATATACAAAAACTACAAAAGCTAATTAAGGAGTCTGGAATGATATGGCAGAAAGGCGAGATCTGAATGACTGGACGAAAGGCACTGTGACTCGAATATTCAAGAAAGGATGTTGCTCATATCCAAGTAAAATCAGCTTATTATCCATTCCTGCTAAAGTATTCTTGCATGTTATGGTGAACACGATTAGACAAAGTCTTTCGAAGATATCGCGGAAGAGCAGTCGGAACTCAGAAAAGGAACAGAATACTTGGGCCAGATATTTACAATAGGACAGTTAATCGAAAAGGGTAGAACTGAGATCCCAATTCTTTTCAGTACTCGTCGATTTCACCAAAGCTGAATCTAGAAAAAAAATCAGGTGAATATCTTGAAATTCCAACAAGTGCAGCGCGAATTCTTCCCCACAAAGTTGGGAGCAATACAGAGAAGAGTCAAATCTCCATTGCTGTTTTCTGTTTCTTGACTGGGTACTGGAGCGAATACGAAGCAGTAAAGCTACGGCTCAATAATAGATAATACCTGCATTAAATTCCGTGCATTTGTGGATTGTATTGTAGTTTCTGTAGACAACTTCAAAGCTGCGATGATATCTGTTTCTAACTCTGAAACAGACGTATTCTGATCTGGGTCGTTCGATGAATTTAAAAAAGACGAAGTAGTTAGAACTTTGTATAATCTAGGCCAAATACTGCCTGGCCGTTGTTACCGAAATTGTGTGAAAGGTACCAGAGCATCTGGGAGTATCTTGAGGGTACACTCTCTGCAGCGGACGAGTAGCAAACAGGCATTGTGCAACCAGCAACAAGTTATTCAAACTCTGGAAGAACAAAGATGTTGGCAATAGGAAAATGCCACAGATATAGAGGAGTTGCAGTCTGAACATTTTGTTCCACGGCCATGAGACGGAAGCATTTATCAAAACTGAAAATAGAAAACTGAAAGTGACGAAAATGAAGATATGAAGATCAGTATTAGGAGTGAAGTGTTACGATCTGCCTTCAAATGCTGTTGTAAGAAAGAGATTACAATATCCAGCTGAACTGGAAGACTGGCTGCAAATAAGGCGTTTAAGACGGTGCAGCCACTGCCAACGAGTGGTCTTGCCAACAGTCATCTTGCGAAGGGAGTTATGAACGCAAAGCCTGATGACAAGCGACTGCAAGGATAACCCCTCCTAAGACGAGAAGGTCTCGCTAGAACTGACATCGACATGAAACAGACTTGAGAAAACATTTATTCGATCCAACTGCAATCTATGAACGACTCCAAATGTTCTCTTTGATGCAGTGACAAATAAAGAAGTATCTGAGCGCATCATTTCAGTTAACATTCTTAATCCACGGCCATACTGTCGGCGGTTGCGACATGCATTCCTTTCTTACTAAAGTACAATACAACAATGAGAACGGCTTTGCCTCGGCTACCATGAAGACTTTGATGATTAAGGACTGAAACAACCCGCTATCAGCGGAGTCCCACAATCCAGAGTGCTTGAAATGCAGAGCTACGAGAAAGATCATTCATTGCTGACTGTTTCATGGTTCAATTGACTAAAAGCATCATTAGCAGCATAAATATACGGCAAATCTGAAATGCAAACAGTTGCAGCACCGGGAAGAAAGAACACTGTGTCGGTAATCTATTAGCTTCGCCAAATAAACAAACACGGTACATCAGCGAGGTAGACTGGGATGGATTCAGCACCGATTAAATTTAAAGAGAGCAAATAGCGTAAATCTATAATTAGTAAAACAAGATGAAAAAATAAATATGTATTTATGCTGTGAACGAAAGCCGTACGTTTGCAACACTTAAAATTGATGACAGTGTGATAACTTTTACAGTTATTCTCGTGAATCTTAGCATTTAAACTGACGAGTCTGAAAAGACATAAGGACAAGACATTCGTGACGAATAATGTATCTATGAAAAAGAAGTACCTAATTAACTCTATTAACTCAAACGTAATGGAGCTCCTCTTCTATCAAACATATCCATCTATTTCATAGAGCGCTTCAAGCGTTAGCCTAGCTGTGAATGTCACCGATGGCCCCTAGTGCTGATGTGTATCAGAAACACTAATTCCTAGGCTTTCCATCGTACAGTGCAAAAATATATCAAGATTGTTAAAGTATTCCAGTATCACAGAAATTTTTTGCTCACTGTCAGGCCAAAGTAACAAACGAACGAAAGAACTCAAAGAAAGAAAGCGAAATGGTTCTTTGACACTGCGAGTTTTCCAAGGTAATGGGAAGTACTGGGAATATACTCTGAATGGTCACTACTAGGGTACTTAATCGACCATTCAACGATCTATGGATCTCTACATCGGAAAAGGGGTTGCAATTTAATATACGATATTTCAACTGTCCATTCTATGACCGTATCAAGCGTCGAATACAACAAGTTTCTAAAAGTGTTGTTCTGGCAAAAAATCCACTAAATTCAGTTTTTAAAAACCTAATTTAGTACGGTATGTCAGTGATATACACTGCTCAAATTCAGAAATTACAACTGAACGAAAGGCGAGATTTGGCGCCATTTAAATGCAGCATTCATTAAATATCTTACATATCCGTTTCAAAAATGCGGTTTCACAGTTTGTCGCCTCTAGGATAATTTCAAGCCATATAGTAATAACATTTCACGATACTGATAAAGGCAGACTTTAGAATAATGTTCAAATAACAGCCAAAGGGATAAGAGTATTAAGTGGAAGAAAAAGCTTACTCGTTTGAGGCACAAAATCTGTATCAGTATAAAGTACTTTCATGTGAAGGAGTACTTAAGAAACATAATATAAAAACTGGTCTTTGAACATCGAAACGTGTGGCTTTGTAGAGTCGCTTGTTTAAATTTTACTGGCTCTATGAAGGTCCTGGAAATGAAGAGCAGAAATCGTATGTGATACAGTTCTGTACGTGCATGCAGTCTTTCAGTGAGCAACAAATTCAGCGATGTGCAGAAACTGCTTTCAGAAAGTGCATGCGCCATAGATAGCTGACCTAATTCAACAATCCTTGCCCAAACCACATGGGTGCTTCGATCACTAAAAAGGCTATCCGGTCAGAAACCTCCAATCGATCAATTTCACTTATGCGAGTGATCATTAATGCCGTTTTCTGTTATATCACCAAGAAAAAAGTAAGAAAGTCAGGTAAAGCCATAGGGATATTGTGTTCATGTTCTGAAGTGAGTTTCATAAGATGATTATGATCCTGATTTCAACAGTCATGCAGGAGGTGAAAGTGACTATGATTAGCATACAAGACACAAATAGTATCTGAAGTCAGCTGCAAGTTTACGATTAGGCTTAAAGAACCGCATTCGAGATTATTAATGCATACATTGACTAAGACTATGCTAAAAATAATGTGATCAATCAAAAGATAACATGCAACTAAGTACGAATATGCAGGTGGTGAACTGCTTAAACGTATTGATAAACTACCGATTTACTTCATGCTGCCTTGGGATGATTCTCATGACTTCGCCTGTTCTGTGAGACACGACGATATTCGAACCAAGGGCGTCCATTACGTCTATGCTTTCGGTTTTGCGCGTTTCCCATGGTCTAGCCACGAACGCGTACGGCTTCGAAGTGAGAGCTCCAACGGGACACAGGTCAATTATGTTTCCGGATAGTTCAGTGGCCAAAAATTTATCAACATATGTTCCAATCTGCAGATCGTTTCCTCTGCCCGTTGTTCCAAGGTCTGGTATACCAGCGATTTCGTTGATGAATCTATAAAGACGATGGTCAATCAATATTGTAAACGTACAGCTGTGCAAATTTACAAATACAGTGCAACAGGAAACATCGTCATGGATAATTCAGAGCTTCATAAGGGACAAACGAAACTTTGAAAAGTGATCCGCAGAGCTTAAAACCCTCAGCCATTCAATCAATGAAATAAATTAATATGAACAGCTACGACAGACATCGGCAGAAAACTGTACACTCACAGTCATAACTGCAGAGGGAATATTAGAAAATAAAAACGATAGAGTAAAACTGATATTTCACTAATTTAAGTGCAGTATTTTCTGTTATTCCAAAGTAAAGTTGTCTCTGAAGTGCGAGAAGGGGCTTTTCACTTAACACACTATGCTTATAGCAAATTCCATTGCAGAGGCTAATAAATCTGATCGATTAAATCCGGATTTAACCATTCACGGCAATAGTCAGGAAACGACAAATACCTGTTTGATAAGGATTTCCATTAATGGTAAGATGACTAAATCTGCATTTAACTGCAACAATAAATTTTATAAACTTGTATCTGAGCGTTCAGTGCTTTCAGCAAAGCCAATTTTTAATTAGCTGTCTTTCCTTCTCCAGTTACTTAGAAATACCAGCGAAAAACGACAAGAACAACTGGCGATGCAAC